TTCTTCATTCCCTACATGACACAGTATAACAACTATTTACATAGCATTTACATGGTATTAGATACAATAAGCTATCTAAAGAAGATTTAAAGTATATGGGTGGGTGTGTATAGGTTACACACAAAAACCTATTTTGTGTGACTTTTTTGGTATTCACAGGGTCCTAGAACCAATTTCCCACAGACACAAAGAGATGACTATACTACAAAGATGTAGGTTTAAAACTAATTAAAAAGTAATCATCATTGCAAGAACAGTCTCCTCCCTTTGCAATAAACAGGAGAAACTTGACATCAGATTTATGATACTAGGGTAAACATACCATCATCAATACAAGTATCTGTTGACATATGAAACAAATACTTGGATATTAACTGTAATGTGAAAATTGTACAAAGTGAATTCCTTTCAGGACAAAACATCTGAGATGTATGCACCCTTAAGAATATAATAAAGCTGGGCTAGGCATGCTAGTGCATGTCTATGATCTTAGCTCTTTGGAGGCTGAGGCAGGAGCATCAACATCAGCCTGGGCCAATGCTGGTGGTTCTAAGTCCGTCTAAACTACATACTGAGACCCTGTTCCATTTTAAAAAGGGGGGTGGGGGAGGAAGACAGCTCAGTAGAATAAGCACTTGCCTAGCAAGCACAGTGTCCTGAGTTCAATGCCCTGTACCACAAAAAAAAAAAAAAAAGCATAAAGCTGTCCTTAAGTGATTTGTTAATTCTTGAAATTAACAAAACTAAAATAACTGTGGAGTCAGTAAGTCCATACACTGACTTAGTCATTACAAGACATTAAGACTTTTTAAAAGGTGGAAGTATTAAACCTTAATGCTCTTATAATTTGATTATCAGCCAATTCAAACTAACCATAAATACTTTTAGTTCTACATTCAAAATAAATGTTTTACAATTTATTTTCAGAGTCCATAAGCTTCTTCACAGACACCTTTGGCCATGTACAAAACCAGTATATCCCTATAATGCCAAGGGCATCTTTGAACACTTTTTACCTGTACCCTAAAATAGCATCATCCCTTCTCCTCAATTTGCAGCTTCTATCACTATGAAGGAAAAGAATACTAAACAGTAGACTCTGTTTTATGTAGAACTATTATGAGACAATCTAGAGGAGCACATCTCACCTAACATAGCCAGGTCCTAGCTTTGTAGTGTAATGACGCTCATACTTTGTATTGGTAGATTTGGCAGTTATCTATATCCAAGGCATGTAAACCACAGATCAAATCAATGTGCCTCTTACTTTTATGAATACAATTTCATTGAAACCCAGTCACACATGTTCTTCTGCACTGTCTATGACTGCTTTCACACTTCAAGACAAAATGTGACCCACAAACCTAAAATATCAACTGGCCAACACTTCCTCTACACAGTGAGATGTCAGAAGTACCACAAGACTTTTCCAAAGCCCAATGAAAAGGGCCACTGGTATCCTACACATAGACTTTGGTATCATCTAGTGCTAAGATATGCACAAATACATACTCTCAAGATGCTCTAATCATCTCATATTATTCGTGAAGCTAGAAGGCAGAGTAGCCAGAAGTTACCATTCCCTACTATCATGGAGTCCCACCTGTCCTACTGCCTTAGTAAATCATATAAACCCTAAACAGCTTTCTTTAAAATTCATCTAAACATATGAAGATCCATGTCTTCATCTGCATAAATAATATATTCCAACCCCTGGCCCTTCACCCTAGACTCATCTTAGACCTACTTCCTTGTCTAAATAGCTCTTCCCATGAGGGTTCTGCCAATATTCTAAGAAGCCAAAGAAGCTTAAGTCAAACCAAAGAATACAAAAAGTATGAGCATGTATATCTTGTGTATATCTACTCACAATCTTTAACTTTTGTTAAAGTTAATATCAAATGCTAACCACAACGTCTAAATCTTTTAAGTGCCAAGTTATTTGTTTTTTAATAAAGTTTTTAAAAATTAAAAAATTATTAATGCTGCTGTGCCAACATAGGGACATCCCCTCTATTGTATGGGACACAAAGACACACACCAACTGTGCGCAGGGGAAGCAGCCTTCCCTGCAGGCTATTTTTAGGCTCACTCTGCAGTAGTTAAGAACAAACTTAAGATAATAATCATGCAGGGCACACTTTAAAACCATAAATTTGCAGAAACATATTCTGTTTTATTTATAAATGCCTGAACAATGAAATCCTACATACTCTTCTGAACTTAATCTCAAGGCACTCACATACTCTACTAAATATTTGTGGCTGTTCAAAAAAAAAAGAACACATACATACACACAGTCATATGCCCTGGATCTAAACTGATAGTCATGTATAAAGGCTGCTTTTCCCTCTTCAACTACAATGCTTTCTCACTTTTTAAACAACTCTTTCAGGGAGGATCTCATCCCTTTTCTGTTTTTCACTATGCCATTGCTTACTTTAACACAGATTCTCCTCCCCCAAAAAATAGAAACAGCTGTCTTTCAGCTCTTCACTCTCCATCAGCACTCTCAGAAACCTAAATACTTGAAAAGGACATGCCACCCTATGTTGCTACCCTACACTGTCAGTGCATCACTGTCTTGAAACTGTATTGGTATCCAATTCTGACCCAAAATTTAATGACCAAAACAAAATCTGTTCCATTTCTTCATTATTCTTATGAGAAACCATTAGCACCATCCCAGAATACTGTAAGCACCTCCTTTTCCACTCGTCCTGAATAACTGCTTGATGGCCAAGGTGTAGGTACCTTAGAAAAACAAAACCCTAATGTAAGTATAATGCTTTTGGCCTAAAATGCATCTCAACTTAAACATGTGAAACTACCTTTTCAGGAACACTGTTGGCAATGCTTCTTAGGGCTGTAACCATGCATCTACACAGACACAAGCTGATCCCAGCCTTGCTTAACAAGCTCCCTTTGAAGGTATCCCATCAAGCTAACTTCTAATTACATCTGTCCCTTGCACCTTCCATTCTGAAAGCCTGAAATCATTTGTTCCTACATGCTCTTCTCTTCCCGAAACAGACCTTCCCAGATTTGGCTCAGACATTCCAATTACTTCTGTATAGTCCCCAACCGACATTTCCTCAGTGAAAAATGTTCAAATATATATATTCATAACTGCAAAAAAACAAGCACTATCCAGCACACAGTGGTCTTCAATTATTATTGGTGTATCCCCTTTTCAGTTTTATATAATTGTATTTGATTGCCTTCATCAGTAAAGGCAACATAAACGCTCCTCAGCGATCCCTCCAATACTATGTCATTTTAGCCAACTATTCAATAAAGCATTACCATGATTTTTAACCAAGTGATAACAAAAGCAGTGAAACTAGGTTTTAAGTTAGTAAGCAAATTAACCAAGGGCAAATCTAAATTCAAACTAGTTTCTTGATTTATATTCCCCTCCCCTAAAAAGAAAACCTATGCAAGACTAGATTTCTCTTCATCAACTGTGCAAAAAAGGGGTAACTTTCTGAAGGTCACAAAATAAGGTAATATATCCAAAATATTTCTTATCCTAAACCTAATCTCACATCCACTATTCAGTATTTTCATGGCAGTGTCCATTTAAAATAGAATTTGAGGCATCTTAGGAAAAATAGTAACTGGAGAAGTTTCAGAGTAAACCAAAGTGCTCAAAGAAATGGAAGAAATTCTCAAACAGAAAGAGTTGGAAAAGAACATCAAAATATACAAAAGTTGGGGCCAGGGAGATGGCTCAGTGGAGTAAAGCGCTTCCCTGGCAAGCATGAGGACCTGAGTTCAATCCCTGGTTCCACAAAAAAAAAAAAATATATATATATACAAAAGTAGAAAAAGATAAACTCAGGCATGTTCCAGCATTTATCAAAACATAAACTGAATGTGTCCTGAAACTTTATAGAGAGACAGAAGTTTGAGATAAGTAAATGGGTTGCTACATACTACAAAGGCTAATAAGCTTGCAAAACTCTTTACTTTAAAAAAAAAGTACAGAGGCAAACCATTGTTAAGTTTGAGAAAGTTTTAAATAAACTACATCATACTCCTGAATGAAGAAATTAGAACAGACATCCGCAGGCATACCTTCAATCCTACAAAGCATCTTTTGCAGTGGTTTCAGACAGCCTACAATTACTGCCTGGATGGGCCAAGGCTCTCATTCTAGTACTGCCTACTGCCTTCTTACACGAAATTTCACTCCATGTTTAACCCCTGAAATCCGTATGAATCTATGAAACGTTAATTTTACACACCTCACCTGTAACCTAGTACTCTAGAAAGACAGTCAAAACACAAGTTACAGATTCTATAGACTTGAAAATAATAGAAGGAACAAGTTCCTCTTGAAAGAATTTCGTATTAAGGGTTTCCCCTTAACTTGACATAAGTGAAAATAAGCAAAATCTTTTTTTCTAATTTGGAGTGAAGAAAACATAACAGCTTTTACAGAACTGTTTAATGCATTAAGAAATTTCTCTCACGTAATTCGTAATAACTCAGAATTTCCTGATCAACTGCAATGTGTTCCAATTCTATCATACGGCAGATAATAAAATGGAAAAAACGATCTTTTTCTCACTAAAGATTGCAAAGGGGGGAGGGGCTGCATGTCATTTCCCACTTGGGAATCCATACGAGTTTCCCAGAAATAAAAATCATGTAGCGTGCATCTCCGCCGAGGTACCAGGAAAAGGTCCATTACAGAGATGTCCTTTGTGTGCACCTAGACTCTGTCTTCCTCAGTTTTCCTTTGACAATTCCTGGCCAGAAACGGGTATCCACTCTGGACAGAACTCCTCTAAGAGCAACCTATATAGTTGCATTACTTCTGCAAACTAAAAGGTTACAAAAACCCTACCCTCTGCCTTCTGTGAGAAACAAATGTATACATACCTTCTCACCTCTACTCCCGACACCCCCGGAAAAAACCGCTACACTCCACACTGAAGCACCGGCACGCTCCCGCTCTGCACCCCTCCAGCCCCCCTCCCGAGGCCACTCACGCGTTAGAGCAGAGCCGCGGCGCTGGGCAGGCGGGCCGGTTCCCTTCCTCCTCCTCCGGGACAGCAGCCGCGGAAGGCTCTGGTGCGGAACTGGGGAAGCAGCAGCGCTCGAGCCGATCGCCCAGGCGGCCGCCCGGGTCTCTTCCGCGCAGCGCTGCGGGCGGAGAGGAGGCGGCGGCCCCGCTCACCTCTTTTCCTCTTCCTGGGTCTGTTCTGGCTGTGGCTTCTGCCCTTCCAGGACCACTTGTCCCGGGACAGTCACGTTTGGGACAGTCACGGCTGGCAGACTTCGGGTTGGGTTTTCACAAAGTTTCCTCTGGAAGGAGGCTGCAGCCGGGCCCCCGGGTCCCCCCCGGCCCCGCCGCCCTGGGGGGGCCGGGGCAGGGGAGGGGGCTCTGAGAACTCCCGGGGGCCTGCCGAGGAGCCGTGGGCCGGCGACGGGCCGCGGGAGAAGACCCCCGAAGGGGCTGAGGGGAGGGGAAGGTTAGGAAAGGACGGCTGCACCGGTCCTACCGCTTCACATCGGGGTCCCCGCCCCCCCGGGCGGCGGGTGGCTGCTGAGCTCAGGGCCCCAGCTCATGCACTCCGGGGCCAGATGCTACGGCCCCAGGCGGGTGGCCGAGGCGGCGGCGAGGCGGGGGACCCGGCCGGCTCCGCTCGGCGCCGCCCCCGCTCCTGGCTCCCGCATGTGTCGCTGCGGCTGGGACCCCCGCCCAGCTACACCTCGGAGTCCTTCACCCCACGCCCCGGGACGAGGCAGAAATTCCAGCCCCTCCTCAGCGTCCTCTCACCGCAAAGCGGCTACCAGTCCCGACCACCTCCCTGCCCCCAGCCGCAGGTCCGGGCTCGGGCTCCGGCTCAGGCTCCGGCTCAGGCTCCGGCTCCGGGTCCGGCTCGGGCTCCGGCTCCGGCTCTGGCTCCGGCGTGTGCAGCAGTCGCTGCCGGCCGAGAAGGTGAGGGGGGGAGAGGAGGACGGCCGCGGCTCCTGCTGGCCCAGACTGAGGCTTGAGGTCTCGGCAGCAGCTAGTGCACCGGAGCGGGATCCCTCGGATGCTCCCTCGCTCTCACGCTCGCGGCGACAGTGGCGGCAGCGCCCGGAGCTCCGCTCACTGTCTCCCTCGCTCTGTGCGGGGCTCTCGCCTCACTCCAGAGAGAGGGGCGGGAGGAGAGCGGCGCCTGCTGATGACGTATCGCCTAGCAACCGCTCCCCCTACCCCCGCACCCCCCTATTCTTTCCGCTCTGAGGCTTCCTCCGCGGGCCTTTTTTCCTCCCTCTCCCCCACCCCGCCCTGGGCGACTGTGGCGCGCGCTGATGACGCTGGGAGGGAAGAGGAAGTCGAGGATCCGCGAGCGGGTGGGTGCGCCTCGGGCCGCGGGAGTAGCTGCTGCCGCTGCTGCCACCGCCGCCGCCTCTACGGCCGCGTCAGAACTGAAGAGAGGAAGGGGAGGAGCCCAGTGGAGCCTAAGCTGCCGCGCGATCTTTCCCCTGACCCGAGGGCCGCAGGGTGAGCTTGCTCTGTAGCGGTTTCCTCCAGGGCAGGTGGCGCCTACTCCTTTGAGACCAAGAAGGGGGCGTAGGCTTTGTGGCCGGGCTCCGGCGCGCACCACCCGAAGGTGAGGCGTTTGGCCCCAGAGAGGCCCGGGAAAAGCCAACTCATCGAGAAGTTGCCCTGCAGCGCGATCGTTGCACCTGCTCCAGCGAGCGGGCGCCCCACCCTTCCCGTGGCGCGGGGTGAGACCTAGCGCCGGATAACCTGCGGTCAGGTCGGGCCGAGCAAAGGTTTGCTGAATGAACAAACGCCTCTTTCCGTGGCCCTCGCGGAACTCTCGAGAGGTTGCAAGTGCAAGGGCTTTGTAAACTGCGGCGCGCTGGAAGAATGAGAACTGTAATACGTCCTTCCCCTCCCCCCAGCCGCGAAAGGAAACGGGTGAGGCTTCAGGACCGAGTCAGCCTGAGTTTTTAGAGGAAAAGAAGAGTTGCTAGGGAGCGGGGAAAGGAGGCTTGCGAAGGAGCCTTCCTCGGGAAGTCGGTGGAAGGAGTTCACTTTTGCATGAGGGAGAATTTAGTAGTGCCTCTGTGTGAGTCGTTCTTGCTCAACGTTCAAAGCGTTTGTCCCTTACCGCCCTCAAGAAATTTCGACCTGTGTTAGAAATGTAACTCAAAGGCTATATTCTATTTGTGAAATAAACATTACTGTGGTTTTGTAGTTTATCCTGTCGTTGTTATACTGGGAAGTAAATGCAGATAAAATCTCAAGAAACTTAAAGTACAGTTTTCTAGGAAAATAAAATTTACGATAAAAGAACCAGAATCCTCAATTTGTCTTTAACTTACTTTCTTGCCGAGTAGTGCGAGACTAAGATTAAAGCAGCAACAATGGTGAAAGAAAGTAGATGCTGCAGTTACGATGCTGGACCTGGTACACCCAACCTCTTCTGGAAACTTCAACGATGGATACAGGGAGCATGGTTAAGAGCAATCGCATTACAGACAAATCTGGGAAGCCAGGGTTTCTGCCACTACTTCCACCGCCATATGCAAAACAGTAGACCAAGAAAACTCAACAGGGTAAATTCAAGGGCTCATTATTAAAATACTGCAGGAAAGGTGAACAGGAAAAAAGAAAGAGGACCTGCAAAAGAAGGACTCAAGAGTTGCACCTGACCTCCTGCCCTTAACATGAAGTTCCGAGGGTTAGGAACTATCCTCCCTTAATTACCCCCAGAATCCATGGTTTTAACATGTCCTAGTCACCAGCTGTATCTTCCCAACTAGGTCTCAGGGAATCAGATCAACAAGCCATGGACTCACAGGCTACAAAATCATTTCTGCTTTTGCCCCTCTTCCTATCCTATGCCAGGAGAATGGTAGAAGTTGAGAGTCAAACACAAATTTAGGAGGTTTTACAAAACTGAGCACTTCATAGCTTTGTGGGCTTTGAATGAAAAGAAGCCTCAGAGCTCTGCTGCAGCACACCAGACACCACCAGGAAAGTACACCACATGGGGTCTTTCAAAGGCTTCATCTGCTGCCCTTGTCAGTGGCTCCACCTAGAGCCTTATTAGGAGGGCAGAATGGCTCTGAGCTACACTAGCCTACTGGCAAAACTCACCCTCCTCCTCACCACCCCGGCTCATAACGAACAGCTGGCCTGTGGAGAGGAGGAAATTCATGTATTTCCAACTCACTGTACATCTCTTTGGTTCCTTATAATTCAGAGGAGAAAATTCAAAAATCCCAACTTGGAAGTTTCAGGTGACAGTTCTGTCCTTGGTTCATCAATGTGTGATAAGGCTCTGCATACTATATCAATAAAATATAATAAAGGACATTGCTGCAAGCTTCACACCTATCCTTGAAAGTGAGCTGTGGTGATTAACCAGTGTTTTGTTATCCCAAATCAGTGGTTTCTGCTATCTGGGATTGCAGTGTGCTAAGTTATTGGGCAAATTTCTCTAATATGTCAATTACTTTTAGCATTTTTGTAAAATGTACTTTAAATAAAGTAAGTATAGAGTATAGTGGGTAATTATAAAATAAACCAACATGGAAACAGTCAACCTGGCAGGGAAGTGTCAGCACCCCAAGGTGCCCGTGGCAACCTTGATGAAGAAAAGATCTACTAAGGGGTGGCCACTGCCTTTTGTAATGATTGTTTCTTTGGTTTTCTTGGTTTTTCCTAGGCATGTGTGCCTCAGCAATACATTGTTTAATTTCGTCCTTTCCTTTGAGCTCTTTCGCAAGTGAAACAGTATGTAATGTGTTGTGCTCCCCACATTTGCATGACACTTTTAATCCGTCCAGTGTTCCTGTTATTCCTATAACTATAAATGAGTTGTTTTACTTTCTGTGTATTCGAGTGTCCCATTGTAATAGTATGTAACAGTTTGTGGAGTCATTCTATAGTTGGTGGACATCCAGGTTATTCCATTTTGGACCATTACAAATGCTGTTCCTCCTAGATGCATTGTATCCTATTTACGTTCCTATAGTCTATACTTGAGAGTGTATAGCGTAAGCTTGACTAAATAATGCCACACTGTTTTCCAAAGTGATCCACTCACACTAGCAATGCATGATTCCTGTTGCTGCAGTTCTCACAGTGCTAGTGTCAGCCCTCTGCAATTTGCTATGGTGGAGGCATAGCAAGCAAATGAGCTCACCCTTCCCCAGTCACTGACACTGTTAAGGACCTTGTCATCTCTCAGCTAGCATTTGAGTTCCTCTCTTGTGCAGTGTGGTGTTAATTTCTAATGCTTAATCTCTGAAATGCCCAGTTTTCCAATATCTTCTAGTCCACATTTGGGCAATGAAATTCAGCTAAAGTAGTGCCACCAAATGAGTTATGTTTAAGGCAGATTCTTTCCAAAATAGGAAAAATTATATTTTACCTTATTAGTTTTTATGAATGTGACACTTTTACTTCTTAAAAGTAGGGCTATATGGGGCCAGGGAGATAGCTCAGTAGAATAAGCGCTTGCCTGGCATGCTCAAGGGTCTGAGTTCAATCCCTGGTTCCACAAAAAAAAAGGGCTATGGAACTATTAAATTCTTTACCTTCCAAGATGATTTACCATCTTTCAACTATTAAAATACTATTGAACTCCTTAATTGGTAGTTTTTGGGTTTTGTTGTCTTTTATTTTCCCTCAAGGAGGCTGGGGAGATGGCTCAGTGGAATAAGTGCTTGCCTGGTAAACGTAAGGTCCTGAGTTTGATCCCTAGTACCACCCAAAAAAAACCTAATAGTTTAGTTTCCCTCAAGCACATAAAGGCAATTTTTATTCACTTGGCATTGTTAAATAGATGATGTCTCTGTTTTGTATTTTTCTGACAGATAACTGTCAGAAATGGTTTCCCTGAGGCTGGGCAGATAGCTCAGCAGTCTAGGTCTAAGCACCTGCCTGGAAAGCACAGGGTCCCAAGTTCGATCCCTAGTACTGCATGCTGTGCTGGCCTTAGAACTGGGTGTAGTGGTGCATGCCTGTAATCCCAGCACTGGGGAGGCTGAGATAGGAGGATCACGACAAATCTAGACTGTCCTTTTGAGACAGGGTCTCACTATGTAATTCAAGCTGGTCGTGAGCTCACTTTGTAGCCCAGGCTGTTCTCAAACTTGCAACAATCCTGCCTCAGCCTCCCAAGTGCTGGGATGACAGGTGTGCACCACCACACACGCCTTTACATGTATTTTTCATTTCCCAAGTTCATGGATTTTATAAAAGTCACAAGGTGTTTTCTTTCTCCCTGATGTTCCTTCTAAAATTTATTTCAGTAGTTTTACTCATAAATATAAGTATGTACTGCCGGCCAAATTTTCCCAAAATTAATCCCAATTAATTTTACATTTAATTGTTTTCATTATTTTTTAATCTCAATTCCTGGTGTAACATCAGTGATATTTTAAAACTAAAAAGAAAAATCCAGCAAAGTTAAGTGACTTTGCTAGAATCAAGTAAACAAGTAAATAGGCTGGTACGCCACTCCAGTCTTCACACAGTTAACTTGCCATTATATCACTGCCTCAGTCCTCTGGAGCCAGGAGGGAAATTAATTCCCAGGTTCTATAGAATATTGTTCGCTTGCACATGACAAACCTCTTGTTCTACAATTGAACAAGATTATTTTAAGCCTAAGAGCTTGAGGATCAGATTAAAGATTGACATTAACAAATAAAAACTTTAAGATTAACATCAATAGTGCCAAAAAGGGATTAAATAGAAGAAAACTTGCTTTGAGGAAATAAAGTTTCTGTGCTCTCCCTTTCTTCTCTAATGACGAGTCTGTCACCAGCTCTCATTGCCTCTTCAAAGAA